ATATTGTGTTAGTTGTGAAATTTATTACTCCAATCACACGCATGTAGGAAAAATGGCGTCCATGATTCCATCAGACTGGCTAACCTAAGATAAAAAAAAAAAAAAATTACAAATCTTGAAAATTCCATTTTTTAAATGCTAACCCAAAACAGCATGATTTATCCAGACTGATTCTTTATGAAAAAATGTTCACTAATTTTTAGTTACGGCGATCACATAGAAGTGTGATGAATTTAGCATTAAAATTTTAAAGCAACCAATGGAACTGCTTTAGAAAAATCGTAGGCACAACATGTAATAAAGAGAAGAATACGTTTGAAAATTCCTAACAGTGGGTCGAGAAAAAGCGTTCACGTTCTTTGTAAAATATGGTCGGACGAAAGCATGCCCAACGCTTTGAATTTAAGTATCCTATGCCCAATTTACAAAACAGAAGACCACACCATCTGCGCCAACTAACGTGGGATAAGCCTCCTCAACATCGCATATAAGGTTCTATCGAGCGTATTATGTCAAAGATTAAAGCCCACCGTCAACAAACTGATTGGACCTCCTCAGTGTGGCTTTAGACCTGGCAAATCAACAACCGACCAGATATTCACCATGCCCCAAATCTTGAAAAAGTCCTTTGAAAGGAGAATCGACACACACCACCTCTTCGTCGATTTCAAATCAACAACCAGATATTCACCATGCCTCAAATCTTGGAAAAGTCCTTTGAAAGGAGAATCGACACACACCACCTCTACGTCGATTTCTAAGCTGCTTTCGACAGCACGAAAAGGAGCTGCCTTCATGCCGCGATGTCTGAATTTGGTAATACGGCTATGTAAGCTGACGTTGAGCAAACCAAAAGCTCCGTCCGAATCGGGAAGGACCTCTCCGAGCCGTTCGATACCAAACGAGGTTTCAGATAAGGCGACTCCCTATCGTGCGACTTCTTCAACTTACTTCTGGAGAAAATAGTTCAAGCTGCAGAACTAAACAGAGAAGGCACCATCTTCTATAAGAGTGTACAGTTGCTGGCGTATGCAGATGACATTACTATCATTGGCCTCAACACCCGCTCTGTTAGTTCTGCTTTCGCCAGACTGGACCAGGAAGCAAAACAAATGGGTCTGATAGTGAACGAGGGCAAGACGAAATATCTCCTGAGATCAAACAAAAACTGGCGTCACACTCGTGACTTGGCATTCACGCCACTGTTGACAGTCATAGCTTTGAAGTTGTAGATAATTTCGGCTATCTTGGAACCAGCGTAAACTCCACCAACAATGTCAGCCTGGAAATCCAACGCAGGATAACTTTTGCCAACAGGTGCTACTTCGGACTGAGTAGGCAATTGAGAAGCAAAGTCCTCTCTTGACAAGCAAAAACTCCATAAGTCACTCATAATTCCGGTCCTGCTATATGGTGCAGAGGCTTGGACGATGGCAACAACTAATGAGTCGTAGTAGTGTTATCTATAGGTCACCAACAGTATAGCGTGGACCGGTTCTCTAGTTAATATAATAAAGAAGAGCATTGTTTGATCATGACCACCGTAGAAAAGAGAATTGTAAAAATGTGAAATTTGGTAAGTATTGTGTTACTTGACAAATATTTAAACATGATTTGGTTGCATTTATGCGGACCAGTCAATGTGGGGTTTGTTGGTGACGTCGACGTCGGCAGCGATTTGGGTTGCAAATATGTAACGTAATTAACATTATTAGTTTAGATCAAAAGCCAAAACATGACAAAACATTCCTAAGGGTAGGGTAGTCGATGATTAATAACAAAATTTCGGTATAGTTATAATCCAAATATTTCTAATATAGTTCACATTTTATTTAAACCCGATTTACTTTAATAGAAATAAAGTTGAACTTTCATAACTCACCATAATACACNTAATCCAAATATTTCTAATATAGTTCACATTTTATTTAAACCCGATTTACTTTAATAGAAATAAAGTTGAACTTTCATAACTCACCATAATACACGAAAAAAAAAAAAAATACAGGTTAGAGAGACTTCGAGTTATGGAAGGAAATTTCAATTTTATTATTATTCAAGAATTCGATTTATGAAAGTTCAACTGTATTTATTAATATAGTACCGTATCTTACACTCTGAACTCATGTAAGGGTTTCTCCTTGAGTTACACATGCTTCCAGATAATCAATTCGTCGTTCCAGCGTAGACAACTTTTCATTCAAAACAGCAAGACGTGACCGGCAAGACATATCTGAAATTTAAATATATATTTATATAAATAATAATGAAAACAGATTAAGCTAATTTTAATCTAATATTGGACCCGAATTTACATATACATATAGCAGCTACCGAAACGACAATACAATAAACGGGTCTTCTAACGACAGCCTCAGGAAACGATTGCTTCGACGATGTCGTACCAAAAAAAAAAGGAGTTAGAGGAGTAAACAGAATAACTGCATTTAATGCATTCGTAGTAAACATTAGAAGGACAATTAATGAGAAAGTGTACCAATCTGATTCCATTATCTGCCATGCAAGGTTGATGCGTTGCAAAAGTAAATATAATGTCAGAATCATTTCGGATGCATTCTTCTTCTTCTTCAAGTTTTCGTCCATCCGGACAACATGACCTAGCCAGCGTAGCCGCTGTCTTTTAATTCGCTGAAGTATGTCAATATCTCGTACAGCCCATCGTTCCATCGAATGCGATATTCGCCGTGGCCAACGCGCAAAGGACCATAACTCTTTCGCAGAACTTTTCTCTCGAAAACTCGCAACGTCGACTCATCCGTAGTTGACATCGTCCAAGCCTCTGCACCATATAGCAGGACGGGAATTATGAGTGACTTATAGAGTTTGTCGGATGCATGGAAAGCAGAAAATTGCTCATTTGCTTTGCATTTGTAAGAACTCTTGTGTTTAACTCCGAGGACAAGGTCCACTCAAAACGGATGAAAGGAGGTATTAACGTTTACTCTGTTACGTGTTTTAGTTAAAAACCTAAAATTGAACTTGGATGAAGGAGAAATTTTTACGAAAAAATTAAAACTTCAAACACCTTTGAAAAATTTCATGAAGATCGGTCGAGTAGTTCTGGAGAAATTTTGCCAACCGACTCCAAAATCACAGTTTCGAGAAAACCCCGTTTGGAGACAGCGCACTTAGCCTCGCGTGCACAAGTTCACATGGCTGTATTTCCGAAACTATTACTCAGATCAACTTGAAAATTTAGGACAATAAGATAGGTGTTGTAGTATTTAATAAGACAATAGAAAATTAGATTTTTTGAAACTCTTTAATGGCGTTTTTAACTGCTAAACGGTGACGAGTTCAAGTTCAAGCTTAATTCTGAACTAATGAATTGAATTTTTTTGTTTAACTTCGTTCAATAAAATGTAATTATGAATATTCTTACTCGAAACAATGGGTCTCATGCATAAAAACGAGTAAAAGCGCTGAGTTGAATCAAGTGAGCAATTGCTCGTAAGTCGAGTTCGATCAAACAGCAACAGCTCTTGCTCAATTTCGTATGCATAAAAATGAGTTCAAACCAATTACAATTACTTGAGCAAACGGAGATCAAACCTCTAAATTTTTTGAAGTGCAAACATGTCGTCAAGTGG